CCTTTAGTGCTGACATAGTTCTCTTATTCAGTGTCGTTTTTCCTAAAAGTTTCTGATGTGGGAATTTTATTTTCATAGGTAAAATGATCTTAGCTTTGTTTCTTTTTTTCCCCCCCCGAATGGGACAGAAATATGCTAATTGATTATAAGCCTTTATGTATAAGAAATAGAGGGAAGGAATAAAAATGATAATTAACATTTATTGAGACTTATAACAAGACACTGCACTAAGCACCTTTACCTGTAGTATGTTATTTAATTAATTCCCACAATTCTCTGAAGTGATTTTATCACTCCCATTTTATAGATTAGGAAATCATGCTCAATAAAGCTAAAGAACTCATCAAAGTCCATATTACTGAGTGACTAAAACTGAGACTTGGACTCCAGTCTCTATAATTCCAGAGCCCTCCATAATAGCACATTGCTATTGTCATCATAAATCCCCTCAGCTATGGAGTGTTTACTATATGCCAGGCATTGTGCAGACTACTTCATCTACATTATCTTTCTAAGCTCTACCACAGCCTGATGAGATAGGTATTAATTACTGTTCCTACTTTATGTACAGGAAACCACCTTAGAGAGATTAAGTAACTTGCCCACAATATCACAACTACTAAGGAATGCAACCAGTATTTGAACTCAGGTGTTTCTGATCCAAAGCCCAAGCTTTTAACCAGTAATACACCATGTTATGATGTTAAAATACATATAATTATCAGGGTTTTATTCTGATTTCTGAATGTTATCTTTGGTTTCTAATATAGCTTTCTTTAAAAATAATTCTATCTTAACATTTTAATATTTAAAGTTTGTAAGGCATTTTCCTGTATGTTATCTCTTGATTTATAAACTATGCTGTGAGGTTTATAGGGAAGGTAATATTTAATTTTACAGTAAGATAGGTTCAGAGAAATAGAGTGATTTACTCTTGCTAATAAGTGGATGTTAGTGCTTCAACCTAGATCACCATTTTATAGTGCTCTAGAGTTAGTGGTCAATTTAGGGTGACATAATTTTGAAAACAAAGTGGACTCTGTCTTGATTATAGTTTTTATAGTTGCTACATCCTTCCTATCTTTTGTCAACTGATTTATTATTTCCTTTTTTCTGATATGTATGTTTTCAATTTATATTTCTCTGTATATTCAGTCCTCCCACCCCTTCCACCTTCTCCTCCTCTTTTTCTTTTTGCTTTAACATTAGGGCAAAAACCAGAGAAGCCTAATCTCATAAGTGTATTCTTGTGCCATTCACCAAAACTGAAACCCGACTAGTGTTAGATAGTTTCCATTAGTTTTACTTTGAAGTAAGACTTTTGGTAAATAGCTTTTGTTAACCAGTTTCATACTGCCACCCATTGTCTGAAAGTGTCCTAATTTTTCAGAGAATGCCCATCTGTTAAAAAAGAAAGAATTCAAAACCGTCTAAGAATGCTTAGTGTAGACATACTAGCCGTTACTAGGTAGTGCTTTATCACAGCCTATTTATTTCAAATTGAATTCCCTTAGACCACTAGCGAGTATGGACATGAGTATATAACCACGTGTCTTTTATAAGGTACAACAGTTGTGGTCTTCATTGATGTGACAATTCAAGTATGTGTTGGATATTATGGATGAACTCTATGAATATTTTCTTCTGAGTAGGTCTTGAGTGTTTCACGTAATTTTTTTCTTGAGATGTGAACAGTGATAATTGGAGTTAATAGAAAAGTTTCAGCTTTGCACTTATAATTTCCTCGGCTAAAGCATTTGCAAAGGTAGAGAGGTCTTTGAGGAATTATTTCATAATTTGCTTTTATTTTTCTTAAAGAGGTTGCCTTGCAACTGGGTTCAGTTTTCTCCATTTTAACATTTTTTATTCTGCTAAAGTTCTAGGAAAATCTCATTGATTTTCAAATGAAACACTTAGAAGCTACACATGTACTACTGTGATACTCCTGATAAACTTGTCTGAATATGGGTGTAGGTCTGCCTCTCAATCCATAATTATATTTGAAAAAGATATGGTTTAATCTTAGGGCCAGTGTATCTTCATTCTCTTTGCAAAAGAAGCAATGATTTGTACTTAAATGGAAAATAAAGTGAAAGTTAATTTAAGAAGCCTTTCTGTAAATCTTTCATTATCAAAGAATTTACTGTCTCAACTGTCTTCTGGAAAGCCAGTCTGTTAAAAGTGTGTTGTAATTTTATAAATCTCTCTCATTAACAAATATCAGAGAGACATGATGTACAGTGGAGATAACATTGACTATCTGGGCCCAGCAGGGCCACTGACTAACATGGTTAAATCATTTATCACTCTTGGAAATTGGAATATATAATGTATGGAAAATTTTGATTTTTCCATTTGAAGTGATAAAGATAAAATGGGATTTTTTGGTGGTAATGATATGATATAATGAATTGATATGTACTTTTCATATACATATAGATACTTTTATCAAATATAAAATTCTGTAAGATACTTAGTAAAACAGATAAATCTTAAACTTAGATTTTTCAAAGCATCTCTTATTTTAAATTACCATGTTTGGATTTTGATAAAGAATTGAATTTCTGAAAACTTGCAATTTATGTTCTTGTCTCTATAGAACAATGAAAATGAAACTGCCCTACACTGTGCAGCTCAGTATGGTCACTCAGAAGTTGTTGCTGTTCTCCTAGAAGAGCTCACTGACCCTACCATCAGGAACAGCAAGCTGGAAACTCCTTTGGACCTGGCAGCCCTCTATGGACGGCTTAGAGTGGTCAAAATGATCATCAGTGCGCATCCTAACTTAATGAGCTGCAACACTCGAAAGCATACACCACTACACCTCGCTGCACGCAATGGTCATAAAGCAGTTGTTCAAGTGCTGCTGGAAGCAGGGATGGATGTGAGCTGTCAAGTGAGTCTTCTTTGAGCTATGCTTCAAAAGCAGTAATGCTCTTGCTTTGCTTTAAGATGCAGATGCTAAAACTTACATGAGGAAATCTTACCATTTTTTAATAAAATTATCCACAACTATTTTTGTAGCTGTTAAACTCAAGGTGTTACGGAAATGACAGGCCAGCCAAGAAACAAGCACCACTCGGAGGGTTGGAGTACTCAGATTTATTATGCCGTCGGGCTCAGAGGGGCTTCTGCTCTGAAGCTCTGAGCACCTCCAAGACGTGTGCATGAGGTTTTACAGGGTTAAGTACAAGCTTGGGGGTATTCGGCCAATAGACACAGAACAGCTTTAGCAGCAGCATTATCACAAAAGTGGAGGGAGGCAGCAAACCAACATGTCAAGGCCACATATGTTTCTCTGAAAATCCAGCTGGCTAGCAAAACAACGTGAGCAGGGAATCAGCAAACCGACACTTATTAACTTAGATTTATGGGTTAGCCCAGCAGAACTCAGATCAGTAGTCCGACACCTGTTACACTTAGATTTGCCAGTAGGCCCAGCCGGGCTTTTCCTTCACAAAGGTACTGTGCCACACACTATTGGGAAACATGAAGAGACATAAGGCATAAGCTCTAAACTTATTCTAATTTGAGGGATGTACACATGAAAAGTTATTACTAGGTGACAGCTGCGTGTGGTATTGTTAGTAATTATTTCCTTTCTCCCAGTATCTAGCATACAGCCTGACATACATTAAGAATTCAAAGCTGAATGAAAGAAGAAAGAAAGAAAGAAAGAAAAGAGACAAAATTCACTTAAACACTTTTGAGTATGTACTTTGTGTTTATATGTTGACACATTTAGAATCCAATTCTCATGGCTGTCCTGTGGGGTTGAGAGCTATTAAGCTCCAGTTCAGAGATAAGGAATCAGTTTCAAAGACTTAGGAAACTTGCCTAAGGTCACAAAGCTGATAAACCCAGAATGTGAATTTAGACTTACTGATTAAACTCCAGGCCTCTTTCCACAATAATATACTGTCTATGCATGACTAATGAAGGAAAAGATCATTATGCCTAAGGGCAATAAGAAAAAATTTACTGGAGAGGTGTAATTTGAGTTGAGCTTTGAAGGACAGAGAACATTTGGATGGATTTTGTCTTTCTACAAGGAAAAGCAGCCAGCTTTTATTATCTGTCTCAAGTTAGCCCTAGTTCCATGGTTAGCTTTTTTTTTTTTAACCATTTTTTCCTTTTATGACTGTTTATTGGCTCCCAAGTAACTGGCAAGAATACTCACCTTCCAGAGACCCTTTTGGTCCAGGGTTAATTGTAAATCAGTTAAGTGACTCTGCCTTTGGGATTGAATGGTTGTTGCCTGGGGTAATGGGTGAGACTGCTATGTGTCTTTCATGATCCAGCAGGCCATCTTGGGCTTGTTCACATGGCAGTGGTATGGTTTTGTGTGTGTGTGTATGTGTGTGTGTGTGTGTGTGTGTGAGAAAGAGAAAGACAGAGAGAGAGAGAGATTGCTTTTTTAAAAATCTTAGACCTTCCAATTCTAGGTTTCAGGCTGACACCCTGAATCAGAATTTTCCTTAGACCTTTGCCTGTGTTATTTAGTTGTTTAGATATTTTTAATATATTTTCTTAATTTCATATTTATTCTACTTTGGCAGCCTTGAAAATAAACACAAGAATTTTTTTCTAGCCCTCATATTTTAAAAAAAACCACTTTGTTCTCAAAGGAGTATTGAAATTAGATAGATACATGTTTACTATTTATTGTAGGTGACTAACAAATTTCTTTTCTTAAAGTATTGTCAACTAAAATAAACGTGCAGCCTAAAAGTTGAGAGTTCTGTTTTATTTGGTGAGAGGAATCGAGCCTGGATGACAGCCTCTCATATTGCCCTGAGGGACTGCTCCAAAGAGGTGGGGGGGGTGGAGCTAGGATATATAGGAGCTTTACAACAAAGACCAGGTAGTTGGAACAATAAAAGGTTACTTGTTATCTAAAGAAAACCAGGCATCTCAAGTTATAGAATTTAGTGCTTTTCTGTGTATGGGAGGAAGCAAACATTTGGGCTCATTGAATTCATTCCTTTGACAAGCTTCTAGCTATCTAGGGCCGGTATCTTGTCCTTTATTATTCTGAGTCCCCTCAGGGTGCACCATTGTGAGTGGCTGCAGAGGCTGGGCTGCAGGCATGTCTTCACTGTGGGGGGTAGCAGCACTAGTTGATGACTTGATGGCTTCAGCATTCTTTGTTTACTGATTAGGATTTGCAGTATTTTTCATTCACAGTATGTTTAATGATAAGCTAGACATTTATTGTCTAAATGTTGAATTTCTCTAATCTAGGTTTATTGCTTTCATAATATTTCTGAAATATTTCTAAACTTTATTGCACAGACTGCATTATAACCAAGGGCTTTCACTGTGACTGAGATCAGAACTCACTTCATGATCATGGCCAAGATCTTTTCATGTTTTGTACTAGATGACATGACTAGAAAAGAAAGAGTTGGGATTCAATTTAATGAATGTATATGGTATATCTTTTTTAATGCAAAACACTATATTTTGTGCTTTTGGAGAATTAAAGATAAAAAAAGATCTCTGCCCACAATTTAGTGGAGGACACAAAAACTTGAAAGAATAACTTCTATACATGACATATTAAAAAAAAAGCTAGGACAAAGTGCTATTAAGATGCAAGTGAGGAAAATATAGGCTTTGTTGGGGGACACCACAGGCTGGTGTCACAGGTGGTAAAAGAATTTACCAAAGATGAAGAATGAAAATAGAAAAGGAGTTTTTTAGGTTACACTGCCATAGACAACTGTGGGCCACACAGACGAAAGGGTTCTGTGTGAGCACCCAGGGTTGGTTATTGAGGTCTTTTACGGGTAAAGGGTTGATGAATACAATGGGTTGGGGGCTGTGTTGTGCACAGTTCTCTGATTGGTTGTAGGTGAGGTAAAAAATTTAGGGTCCATGAATGGGGTTGTGGAGTTAATGACTCTGATAAGGTGGAGGCCTGGGTTGAAACAAACCAGCCTGAGGTATCGTGAGATTAGGCATTACCTGGGGCTATTAGCTTGTTAGGGCAAACACACCCAATAAAGAGTGTACTTTATCTTTTTAGAGATCTCAGGCAGACTTGTGAGAACCTAGTGTTACAGAAACAACAGGCCAGCCAAGAAACAAGCACCACCCGGAGGGTTGGAGTACTCAGATTTATTACGCTGGCGGGCTCAGAGGGGCTTCTGCTCCGAAGTTCTGAGCACCTCCAAGACGTGCACATGAGGTTTTATAGGGTTAATTACAAGTATGGGGCTATTAGCCAATAAGGCTCAAACAACAAAAAGCAAGGAATCAGTACACTGGAGCTTATCAATTCGGAACAGATCACGTTACTGACACTTGTTGAGCTTGGATTTACGAGTTAGCTTGTTAGCCCAGTAAACTGACAGTAAACTTCAGATTTACGAGTTAGCCCAGCAGAACTTAGATCAGTAAACCGACACTTATCACACTTAGATTTGTGACTTAGCTTGTTAGCCCAGCTGGGCTTTTCCTTCACACTAGGAATAGGGGTCCTTGGACTTTGAAGGAAGTCAGTTGACCCTACAAGCTTTAAGAGGGAGAACTTGGGAGGACATTGATAGATAACGTTTGTAGATGACTTTGAAAGTCTAAAAGGACTTTGAATTTTTGGTGTAATTTAGCTTGCAGATGTGGATTATTTGACTAAACGAGTGCTTCAAAATATGGAATTTTGAATACTTTTAGATGGGGTATATACCTTCTAAGGTCCCAGTCTCTCTCTACCCTCATATCATTGCCAGACTCATTCCTTTAGTTTTCTCCTTGGCAACTCAAAGCATTTGGGTGTGTTACTCACATGTCAGACGAAAGGGACACAGTTTAGTTTAGTCTACTATGAACACTTAATCAGAGGCATCAGGGCAGGTACCTGAGCAGGATTGGCTACATTTTGGTTACTCTACCTCTTTCATTAATGTTCATTCTGTGATTTCATCTTGAAGGTTTACTGGAAGTACAGCTGACAATGTATTTCCAAAAAATATTTTAGTGACTTGAATCTTCCACTAGATATAGTTAGCCTTAGTTGAGTTTTTGATTTTATTATTACTGCTTTCTTCATAGAAAACACTTTTGGGCGGTCTCATTGCCCTTTTTTGGTGAATATTCAACTTTATTATGTTATTCAAATTAATTGTCACCTAGTTTTCCCATCAGATTCACCACAAAATTTTTTAATAATTAAATTTGAAGTAGATATTTGTTGATATTCTCATTGGCTGAGAGTGAACAATACCAGACAGTAACCTTAAACTGTTTCAGTGGCTTTAAGATTCATTAATTTGCTCTAATTAATCAGTTGAGAGTTAACAGTATTAAAGATAATTCCATTTGGCCAATTACAGTAATACACATTTCGACTTCATTACATTCAAGTTATTATGAATAATTCTTTAAAATTTACAGATGGCTTTGAAGGATTTTGTCTTTTCCTTTAATTGCAAATATTTTAAAAGGCAGCACTTTTGTTGGTATTTTTTGTAGAAGTTTTATTTTCTGCTTCATTTCTCTCTGAGACATTTTGAGTTATAACACATATTTGCACTAGTGAACAAAATAATTTAATTCCTGTTTGGGTGAATTTCAAAGTAGATTTACTTATAAATCCTTTAGTATTAAAAAATTTCTTCATAAAGAAAATCAGTCATATTAAGATATTAAGAAAGTAGGGTTTAATTGGCAAGATTCTCTTGAAAGTAGCAATTATTTTTATGGATTTCAAACCTGATTTTGGGTAACTAGGTAGTGTTAGTGTCATATTATGCTAGTGCTTTAACTGTGTGCATTTCTTATGTTTCTCTTGTTAAAACTTGAAGTTACATAAGTAGCATAACAGTAAGCCAGTTGGATTTTGTATAAATGTTAAAGGAAATGAAAGTAAAATTATAGAAAATTAATATTGAAGAGTATAAGTTACCATGCTAGGAGCTGTTAAGGTGCAAATCTGAGTAAGGTACAGTTTTTGCTCTCAAAGTACGTATAGTGGCAGGAGACATATGTGCGTAAATGGGTAGATTACATTTTATTTTCATTCCTTCCC